TAATAAACCTTTTAAAGACTCTTCCAAATATTACTTTAAGTATGTGAATGCTTTTATCATGTACTTTTGTAATATTAAATTTAATACTCATCCTCATCTTAAAACTCATACCAAAAAGATAATAATATTTATTTAAATAAATATATTTAAAAAAATTTCTTTAAGTATTATATTTTTTTAATTATTATTATATATAAAAAATTTTATTAAATATTTTTAATAATTTTTATTTAATAATTATATTTTGAATAATTAAATAAAGTTATTTATTAAATATAAAGTAGTTATTTGTTAATTTTTAATAAAATTAAATAAATTTAATAAATTTTTAATTATATAAAAAATTTTATTAGATATTTAAATTTTTATTATAATAAATTTTTATTATATAATATATTTAATATATTTAATAATTATAATTAATTTTAAAATAATTTAAATATTTTTAGTAAGATTTTAATATATTTAATAAAATATTTTCAGAAAAATTCTTGAATATTTTCAAAAATATTTCATAATTTTAATAATAGTATTAGAGAATTTTATTAGAATTATTATAAAAAAATTCAGAAAATTTCTGAATAAAAAATTAAAAATTTTCTAATAAAAATTAGATATTAATATTTTACTAGATTAAATTAAAAAAAATATAATTATTATTATAATAAATATATATTTTATATTATATTTAAGATATTAAGAATATTTTATTTTTTAATTTAATTATTAAATATATTATTTATAAAAATAATGAATAGAAAATTTATTTATATATATATATTAATATTAATTATTTATTAAAAATAATATAATTATCTTTAAATATTTAATTTTAATTTTATAATAATAAATTATAAAAAATTTTTATAAAAAAATATATTTCTTTTTAATTAAATTATTTTTAACTTTATAATTATAATTAAAGATTAAATTCAATAATAATATTATTTATTCTATTATTATAAATATATTATAATGGCTTAAATATATTTTAATTTAATTTTTAACTTATAAAATTATATATTTCTTTATATTTTTATAAATAAATTAGATTTTTAATTTAATAAATATAATTAAATATATAATATTTATATTTTTTTCCAGTAATTTGACTAATATTTTCTTCTTTTCTTCTGAATTATTTCTATAATAAATATTTATTTTTATATATTTGCTAATATTTTTTTAAAATTTATTTGAAATATTCAATAAATTATAAAATTATAATTTAAAAAATATTGAAAAGTTTGCTTTTAATAATGAAATTTTAATTTTATAATTGATTGAAAGATATTCTTAATTATATATATAATAAAAAAATTGATATTAAGATTTAATAAAAAGTAAAATTAATATATCTTTTATATACTCATTTTTTTCTTTTTTAACTATAATTTACTTGATTTGTCAGGTTCATTAAATTACTTTTCTTGTTTAATAATGAGATTCAGAATGATTCTGTTAATTGAATAATCTAATTATATAGTAATATATTTTTTTTATATAATAGTTTCTTTTATATATATTTTATTTATTTATATTTGCTTTAAAGTCAAAGAGATTTTTTATTTTATGAAACTATTAGTGAACTGCTATTTCATTATTCTAGTTTAAAAGAGAAGTAAGATTCTTAAAAAAAAGTTAAATCCATTTAGATTTATTTATTATAAATATCTTAAATAAGTTTATGATTAAGAAATGAAGAAATTAAAGAAAGTTTTAAAATTTGATGTATAGTTTTCTTTTTTAGTAAAATTTGAATCAAAGAATAATTTCTGTTTAGGTATTTTTTTTTGCTAGATTAAATAAGAGTTGTTTTTAAAATAGTTCATAAAATATTAAAAGATCTAGCTCTAATGATAGCATCATACATACATCACGTGTTCTTAAATTTTTCTTCGTCCATTGCTAGGGTACTTAGATTCAGGGATCAGAAAAAAAATCGATGGTAGAAATTCCAATTATTCAAGTTCTGGTTGGCCGGGTTGAGTTATAAGTATAATAATTTATAGATATTCCCAATCAAGATATAAATCTATTTATCTACATTTTCTCTTTAGCAAATATGAGTTTTGTTAAGAAACCACCGTCTTTTATTCGATTTGCTTCAAGACGCTCAGTTGTGTATGGAACACATGCGATGGTGGCTAGCAGGTAATTTTTGGATGAAAACGAGCTTTCCTTGTCAATCACGTGATATAATTAAATATTGGTAATATTGGTGGAATTATCAGTCAACCACTTGCATGTCAAGCTGGAATTGAAATATTGCGAAAAGGAGGAAATGCTGCGGTAATTTTCTAGTTTAATCACTTAAAAGAATTAAATAGACCTAAGATTAATCTTTGATAATTTAGGATGCGGCTGTTGCTACTGGTAAATATAAGATTGAATAATGAATTTAGAAATTTTGATTGACTTTGAAATTGATACATTTTTTATGTATTAAAAAGCGGCAGCATTGAACGTCACAGGTATTAAGACAATTAATCAAGAATTATTTTAATGATTTGAAAGTTTGAACTATTGTGTTTTGTATAGAACCCGGATCAACAGGAATTGGCGGTGATTGTTTTTGTCTATTTTACGATTCCAAAACAAAAACTGTAAAAGGGTTGAATGGTTCAGGCCGGTAATTAATATCTCTTCATTGATAATATTTTATGAATTGGGTTAAAATATTACTGATATCTCTTCTAATAATATAAAGGTCTCCCGCTGCATTGACATTAGAATATGTGCGAGACATTCTTAATATTCATGATCGAACTATACCATATCTAAATATCAACGCAGTGACAGTGCCAGGAGCAGCAGCTGGATGGGTAGATACAGTCGGATCTTTTGGCAGTGGAAAATTGAGCATGCAAGAAATTTTACAACCTGCAATTACTCTTGCTGAAGAAGGATTTCCAGTATCGGAAGTCAGTGCATGGCTGGTCGGTTATTTTATCTATATTTTTTTTGATTCTGGTTAAATTAAAGGCAACGAAATAAAATTTTATTTTATTGCTTAGTGGCAACGAGGAGAAGATGATATAAAATCTGCTTCTCCTAATGCCAATGATATGTTGTTAGATGGAAGAGCGCCTAAAGCAGGTGAATTTATGAGAATGCCAAATTTAGCTAGGTATTATTGATTGAATATTATATCGTTGAGAAAAGAATTTTCCAAGATCATCATTATGGAATTTAAATTAAATTAAGAACATTTCGGGAGTTGGCCCAACATGGTAAAGATGGTTTTTACAAAGGTAAAAAAATAATTTTAATATCCTTAGTACAATATGTCTTTAATAATATGTATATTTTCTGATTCAAATAGGTCGAATAGCACAAGCAATCGTAGATCTCATAAAAGATAAAGGAGGAGTCATGACTCTCGATGATCTCGCCTCGCATACTTCTACTTTCGTTAATCCTATATCTATCGAATACAAAGGTCTTACAGTGTATGAGTGTCCCCCTAATGGGCAAGGTTGTCTTTGTCAATATTATTCATTATTTAATAAGTTATTACTCTAAAAACTTTCTCATAAATCTTTTTTATTCTATAAAAGGTATCACAGCACTTTTAGCACTTAATATTCTTCAATCCTTGCAAGAGCAAAGAAAAATTCCAAATATTAGTGAACTGGAGCATAATTCTACAGCTTATTTACACGCTATAATCGAAAGTTTACGATTAGCATTTGCCGATACTAAATATTATGTTGCTGATCCTGAATTTTATAATATTCCGATTGAACAGCTTTTATCTAAAGTAATTCTTTTTTATCATTCGCATTGATTTAAAAGACTTCAAATTAAAAAATCTAAATATATTAATCTGAACAGAAATATTCTGATACGCGTGCACGATTATTTGATCCTTTCAAGGCAACGATTGATCCTGTTAAAGGATCACCTGTAAATCCAGGTGATACTGTATATTTTTCGGTGGTTGATGACGAGGGAAATGCCTGTAGTTTTATCGTATGTATAATATTAAGAATTTTATATACGTTGCAAGTTCTTATTCTTTCATTTTTCTAGAATTCCAATTATATCGGTTTTGGAACTGTAAGCTATTATTATATAATTCATTAAGTTGATTTCAATTTTATTGTATGTCAATAAAACTTGTAATTTTTCTTAAATTAATAACAGGCTGCAATTCCAAAAGATTTTGGATTTACATTACAGTGCAGAGGAGCCGGATTTGTATTAGAAGAAGGGCACCCAAATTGTTTAGCCCCAAGGAAAAGACCATATCATACAATAATTCCTTGTATGGTTACACGTGGCGATGAGCTATGGTTATCATTCGGTGGTTAGTACACTGCTACATCTATTTATATTATATTATTCAGTCCCACATTTACATATTTTTTTAATATATATCAAGTAATGGGGGACTATATGCAGGTAGTAAAATATCCATTTGTATGCTTACCTCATTCAAGGACTAACAAATTAATTATTGTTATTTTAGCCACAAGGCCATGTTCAAGTAATTCTAAATCTTTTACATAATGGTAATTTTAATGTGCAAAATGCATTGGATGCGCCACGCATTCGTGTTGGACCTTCTGGTGAAAAGCCTATAGTATTTATTGAAGAAGGTATAGATGAGAATGTAGTGAGAGAATTGGCTCAAATGGGGCACAATGTTGAAATCGTTAAAGGGTGGAATAGAACGATTTTTGGTCGTGGACAGATTATTGAAAAAAGGATAGTTGCACAAAATGGAAAACGTGTGTGGGCGGGTGGAAGTGATCTAAGAGGCGATGGCCATGCAATTGGCTGGTGAACAAAATATAAATCATTTCGTTTAGTTAATAATAATAATAATAATAATAATAATAATGCACGAAAACATAGCTCAAGATTAAAACGAAATCTGTAAAATGGTAAACCGACTTTACCATTATAATTTTGATTTTAAATGTAAAAAAACATAAATTATAACATAATTTTTTCCTTCGATACTCTCATATATATATATTTTGATTTTTAACTTAACGATTCATGTAAGCCAGCAAATTAATCCTTTCTTTTTTTTCTTTCTCATATTGTCGCGCTATTTCTTTTGCATTTAACATCTTTTTACTTTTTTCCTTTTTTTGTTTCAGCTCTCTCTGTTTCTTTAATGTGCTTGACTTTAAGCCTATTCCCAAACGATCATTTTTAATTTTTGGTGTAATAGGTTGCCGCCTTCCTTGCTCACTAACTCCTAATCCTTTTTCATATGTCCAGCCTTGTCCACGAAGTATGCGGAATCCTATATTGGATTCATTTAAAACTAATGGATCAACAGGGACAGCATCATCATCTGGTACATGGGATATAAGATGAGCTGTTCCATGCAAGTGTTGTTGAAAGGATTGTGAAGGAATATCAAGCGCACAAGAAGCGCAATGCCAAGTGTCTCTATCCTCGGTGTTACTTAAAAAAATATTGCTGTTTAAAGAATCACAAGGTTCTTCAGAGTTGAAATTGCTTTCTTTATTGATATTTTTGTCGGGGGTTTGAGATGTGGTTCTCGATTTTTTGACGCCCACAAAATTTTTGTAAGAAATTGTGAATAGTGAATTTCCTTTTTTTCTTTCGGATTCTAAGTTACATCTTTTTGGGAGAGATTTCGTAAGTTTTGGAGAAGGTGCAGTATTTCCCATGTGTTCTGATTTTTTTCTCATTTTGTTAGCGATATTGATGGGTGGTAAAGAAATTACATCCTGATAGAACTCACAAGTACTCTTTGCTTCTTCGGTAACTTCAAAAATGCTAGCGTCAATCTCTTGACTAGTTGAAATAGTTTGCGGAAATTTTTGTGTGGAAGGGACGAAGGTTATAGGTTTCGAAGGTAAAACTGTTGTGCTGGCACTTTTGTCGTTCATACTGTGGTGAAAACACTAAAGACATCCAATATTTAATCAAATAAACTGTAAAGGAATTTATAATATAAAATAACGTATTAACGTAGTAACTGAAATATTGATCATTTAACTTATTCAGAGTGACGCAGTATTTAAAGAACAAAAACATATTATAGAATATATTAATTTGTTTATACAAAAGAATAGAGGTATCATTATCGGGGATCTAGCTCAAATGGTAGAGCGCTCGCTTCGCATGCGAGAGGTACGGGGATCGATGCCCCGGATCTCCAGTGTTTAAGTAGTTTTGTATGAAAAAAATGAACAGAATTAAAACTATTGTCTTCCCTTTTTTTTGATCATTCCCATTATAAGTAATTATTTCGGTGTGATCATACGCGTGTTGATTCAAATTTATATCGCGCCAACTTGTATACTTTTGAGGTTTGCTATTAATTATTCTAAAATGAGGGAAACAAGAGCCATGCGCAGAGGAGAAGTACATCATCCACCACCAGCTTCTTCGCTGCGTGGGGGTGGTAAACCACCAGAAGATATGATTGAAAGAACTCCAGAGTACCTATCTTTCATGGAAGACCTTGAAGAGTTTCACAGGTCACACGGGTAATTTCTTATTTAGTTTTCGAAAGTAAATTTGGTCAGTATATTATTTTGGAACTAGCGTTAAAATTTTCCGATTCATGTTATCAGAACGTCATTACAAAGGGAACCAGTTTTAGGCTCCAAAAAATTGGACTTGTACAGAATCTATAAAATGGTCTGTGAAGCAGGTGGTTGTCAAAAAGTCAGTGAAGAACGTGGCTGGAAAAAGATTACACTTCCGTTTAATTTCCCCGTCACTTGTACAAATAGTGCTTATGTAATGAAGAATTTATACATAAAATTCCTTGAGGGATATGAAATGGAAAATTTTTGGGGGAAAGAGGTTCCTTATGGTGGTCTAAAGGTTTCAACGACTGCCAGTTCCAGTCGAAGTTATGCAAATGGAGGTGTTGGTGGTGGCCATGACAGTGATAATAGTGATCAAAGTGATAATAATGGTAATAGTAATATTAGCAATAACAATAGTGGGGATGATGTAGAAATGGGGGAAGCGTCAAATGGCGTTGACAGTTATGCTACTAACAAAACACATATGAGAGACAATTCTAGAGGTAATTAATGCCTTGTATTTTTTTACAACGCAGTATTTCCACAAATGTTGAATTCTGGACTAAAATGATCATATATTTTTTTTTATAAAGGTTAGATAATTTTTGATTTTATATTTATGTTAATTTCAAATTATATTTTATATCAATTCTTATATCCCCAATCAACTTCTTGGATAGTAAATACAACGGTAATGTCGAGAAGATACAATGCACCACTTCTTTCTAATAAGCTCGAAGTTCAATCCCTAGAGCCTCCCGCACATAGAGGCTCATGGAGAGAAGGTGACTATTCTTTTTGGTTATCTATGATCGATATATAGTTACTTTATAAATTATCTCTTATCTGATTCGAATTCGAATAGGTTATTATTTGGAGGGGGGTCATCATAACCGGATGCTACTCGCTTTACGATCTACACTTCCAAATGAAATTGATTGGGCATTTAAAAGATTAACTAAGCTTTCGCATGAATGTTCGGATTCTTTTCATGTGGATAGGATTCCTGGTCTTGTGGATGCACTTCTCGCTTTTGTTGCACCATTTTTTGAGGATTGTGCTAAATTATCTGACATTAGTGAGCCCGTTTCAAATGAAGACAATTTTATGAACCTTGTCGAGAATGATGCTGCTGATAATAATGCTGTATCAATGAATACATTTTTTGATTCCATTGAATCACAACAATATCATCAACGAGTTCTTCAGGCTTTTCTAATTATAAGGAATTTTTCGTTCTTGGAACACAATATGAGACTCATGGCCGCATATAAGCCATTAAGAAAGTATCTAATTGAAGGACTTAAATTAAAAGTATTTGGAAATTTCATTGAACTCCGTCATTATTGCTTAGATATTGTTGAGAACATTTGTCCGTATGTAATTTTAAAAGGATTGGACGACCCATTTATGACAACAATACCAATTTTACTGTATTCCAATGATAAAGCATTGATCATGGGTGGGATTCGATCTTTGACAAGATTAGCTCTAAATGAGAGTAATATTACCGTTTTACGAGACATTGAGGCCAAGACAGTTCAGCGTATGATCGAATTATTACTAATTGAAGATGAAGAACTTGTCGCAGCTGTACTTGATTGGTTATATCAATTCTCAGATTTACATGAAGACATGGCTTATCGAATAGCCCAATGTACACCTGGTAATTTTGTGCGTTTAATGATAAGATTCATGAGATGGCAAGCTTTTGACACGGTGAAAGCAGCGTATGACGATATTATGCCGATCGTTCCAAAGTTGCAGTTGTCCGGTCCATTTGTCGACTTACCTGAACCTTATCGTACTATTGAATGGTAAGTTCTCTTTTGAATCACATGCAATGAAAACAATAATAATATTTTAATTTTCAAAATAAAATAAAGGTTGAAAATTGTTTATGAGTATGTGCCAAACGAAAGTCTTTTGCAAACTGAGGTTTGGTTTGCTTACAGAGAACAATTCTTCAACTCACCCACTCCAATGATGCCGGCTGCTGAAGTGATCAAACACGTCACTGCTGCATTTCCGAAAGCCGTTGCGATGATGGTCACTAGATCAGATGGAACAACTAAATATCCTTTATACTCTATGAAAACACGAGCATCTAGCTCTTATCTTTTGTTTGTGCTTTTCCTTGACTTTCTTTTGTTGATGTGTTTACATATACTATTCAAGGAATCCGAAGAAAAAAACTGATATTACGAGAGAACACCGGTGAATATCCATATGTTATCCATTTATTCTAAGTTTTCAACGTAACTATAATTTTTCCTTTAATCTTTTATTAATTTAGCTGAAAGTTTTACTTGCCGATGGGATGGATGTACTGCTACACCGTTTTCAAAAGGAGAGGATGTTTATCAACATATCATATATAATCATTTACAACAAAATAGCGATCATTTACATGATTGTTTATGGAAAGGTTGTCATAGATACTCTCCTGGGACCGCAAATCGAAGTTCCGTCCTAAAACATCTCAAAATTCACTTTCCAATAGAGCCAGATTCCTCGACAACCGAAGAATCATCTCAGGTGAAATTAGATCAAAGAAGGAATTTCCTTACGCAACGAATAAATGTTTCTTCTGATGCTGACGGAGAAGCCATAGGTATCCCATTAACCGCTTGTTTAATACTGCGAAATATGTCACGGTCGAAGAAAACGATTCCTTATTTTACGGCCTATGAAACCGAGCTGTCGGATATTTTGGCAAAGTGTAGACCATTATCAAAATACTTGTCTGAAACGATGTCAAATTTGAGAAATTTTATAACTTTTTAGAGGGATTAAATTTATTGGTCTTTATGAATTCATAATATTTCTTTTTTTTTTTACATATTTATATAATTATAATACAATATAATTTTTAATTTAACAACAATTAGCTTGTGTAAATATATGGAATATTATTAGATTTTTGATCTTATAATCCCATAATTCATTCCACATTTCAAAATCTTTATAAATAGATTTATTTAAGTCTTATGTTAATGCTACAATAGCAAGATCACTTTTTTGACATGTCCAAATATTATTATTTTTGGCTATGTATTCACACTTGCTTAAAGCAATTATTTACTCGCTGGGCACTCTGGAGGAGAACTGTTTCGATGAATTTGGAGAATCAGCAATGCGAACATTATCACAAGAAATGTGATAAATAATCAAAATTATCATAAATCTTTGATAAATTGATAATTTGCAAGAAATGTTCCTTAATACGCGTTTTTTTACACCAATATTATTTGGGCAAAAAAGCACAAAACGATATTTCTTTACTAGCAGTATACAGTTAAGCAACCGCAAGAAATCTCAATTTTTATCTTTAAGTCAGGTAAACACAATTAAGAAGCGTATTCTATACCGAGTGCGCCAACGAAAACACTGTATATGCGTGAATTGTCATTCTTAATACTTATTTTATGCTTCTTTTTTTTTGCAGGCAGTTGAATTAGTAAAACAAAAGGAAATATCTCCGGTTGTTTTGACCCAAAAATGTATAGAACAAATAAAGACGTTTGAACATCAAATTAACGCGTTTATTCAAATAAAAGATTATGAAAAAATTCTTGATCAAGCCAAACAAGCGGAAAAAAGAATCCAACGAGGTTATATTAATTAAATCTTTGCATCTTTATAAATATCTCATAATTAATGATGGGTAATAACGTGTTTAAATTTTAAAGGAGAACCCAAAGGAATCTTGGATGGTATACCAATCGCTTGCAAAGATATATTTTGCACTAAAGATTTATACACTACTTGTGGATCTACAACGCTCAAAGGTCGAGAAAATTTCTTTGTGCAAATTGTTTGTTATTTGAACAAAAGCTAATCTCCTATTTATTATTGTTGTAGATTTCCAGTCAACCTATAATTCGACGGTGGTTGAATTACTAGAAAAATCCGGTGCTATCATAATTGGAAAGACAAACATGGATGAATTTGGCATGGGGTAGATAGATAATATCAAAATCGAAATAATCAAAATTAATGGATATTTTGCCCAATACTTAAGAAAGGCTTAAAAACAATTAGCTCAGCAAATGTGTACAGTGCATATGGTATTACATACAATCCATTATTGTCGCTTTCACAATTTTTTGAATCTACAGAAGAGGGTGATAAACGTGTTGCTGGTGGAAGTTCAGGTGGAAGCGCTGCCGCTGTGGCCTCTGGAATGTGTTTTGCGTGAGTTTATAAATTTAATTAAAAAAAATAAAAAATAAACTTTCACATATTTACGTGTGAATTTTCTAGTGCATTAGGCTCTGATACTGGCGGATCTGTTCGTTTGCCTGCATCGTACTGCGGAGTAGTTGGGTTTAAACCCTCATATGGACAATGCTCTAGATGGGGATTAACAGCATATGCCAATTCTTTAGATACTGTCGGATTAATAACGAGAACTGTTGACGATGCAAAATTGGTATATGGTTAGTCTATAATCCGTATCCTGAATAACCAAAATTATTTCAACAAAAAATCAAACCGATAATTAATCATTACAGACTTAATCTCAAAGTTTGATAAAAAGGACACAACATCCTTACCGCTAGAATTCCGGTCAACTAATAAAAGCTTAAATAAATCTGATAACGCTAGCAATATTAGCACGAAAGATTTGAGTGGACTTCGAGTTGGTGTTCCACAGGTAAAATTTTCATTGATTAATATTATTGCTTCATTCAGACTAAGTTAATCTTTGTATGTTAACATAGGAATATTTTGTATCTGAACTTAATGAAGACATTATTAATTTATGGCGTAAAGGAATTAACCATTTAAATTCTCATGGTGCGACTATTGTTCCTGTTTCTTGTCCAAATACAAAATATGCTTTGCCGGTATATTATATACTTGCTCCAGCTGAAGCTTCGTCAAATTTGGCACGCTATGATGGCGTAAGATATGGTAGTTGATTTATAATTATCAAAAAAGTATTTTCTTGAAATTTCCAAAAAATTTATAGGTCTTTCTTGAATTTAGGTTTTCATACAAATACTAAAGAAAATCATAGTGATGATATAATTTATGTTGATGTAAGAGATCAAGGACTTGGTGAAGAAGTAAAACGACGTATAATTCTCGGGACTTACACTTTAACTGAAGGGCAAGAAAGAAATTTTTCTTTATTTCCATAATTTTTGCATGTTTTAATAATTAGACTAACATCTTATTATACCAATAGATCTTATGAAAATTATTTTTTGCAAGCACAACGCGTAAGACAATTGATTCGGCAAGACTTTAATAATGTATTTTCAATGCCGAATCCGTTGCTTGTTGATGATAAACTTGGTATTCCCATTTCTGAGAAGTCAAAACACGGTGTAGATGTGTTGATAGCACCAGTAGCAATTTCGACTGCACCCAAAATTCGTGATTCACTTAATTCATCCGAGGATCTGGAATCCGATAGTTATGAGATATTAAATTCATATGTCAATGATGTTATGACTACGGCAGCAAGTTTGGCAGGTAAATATCTAGTTATTATTACTATATAATTATTTTGATCATTATAATTATTTTTTAATTAATGCGTGTTTAGGAATTCCTTCTATGAGCATACCCTTTGGACTATCTTCTAATGATGGATTTCCAATTGGATTACAATTAATAGTGCAGTATGGAAATGAAGAAACTTTATTTCAAGTTGCAAAAGTTATAGATCAAGGCAATAATTATAATTCATAATGATTCATCCGATTTCAAGAATCAAAAAAAAAAATACTCGAAAAATTTACTGCCATCAAATAGTGAAAATTTAGATGATGATGAGTATCATGAAAGTGAGAAATGTTGAAAATCATGAAAATGATTATGATGCAATCTAGATATGAAAGGTGACAGACACCTCATGCAAACGAAGCATTTTCTGTTAGCTAAATTTTTTGTTACATCTAATTGAAAAGAGAGATGTTACCACAATTTCCATACCAAAAACTCCACGTTCAATTTCGTATGTAGCATGTTTACTTCGGGCCTTTTAACGATATGTTTCATTCAAGATTGGCCTCTGGACCAGTCCAAACCTGTTTGTCTAATATCTACATAATTAAATTACTAATGAATTTTTGTCCAAACTGTCCAAAATTGTCCAAGGGCCAACCCTGGAAAGTTTCATTATAATTAGCCAGAACATTATCACAAGTACCATTTCTCAATGGGAGAACATAACGATAATAAAAAAAATCTAATATATAAAATTATTTTTTTTTGTGTGTGTATATGAATGTTGTGTACCACGAATTGGCTGAAAGATATGTATAAATATTTTTCGTGGATTTTTTTTTTTTTGATATTGGATCTGCGCACTGACCACTAGTTTTCCATTATCATGCTTTTGTTTGTTTGTATGCACATGATGAAAGGTGCTACAAAAAAGTGCATAAATTAAAAACGCAAACACAAAAAAAGTTGATGCATTAATTAAAACTTGAAAATGTTATTGATACGTCTCAATACTTTATATTATTTAATTTTTTGTTCATACATGTATAAAAACCGAAAATTTTAGTGCTCTTTCTTTCCCATACTTCGATTCTGACTAATAAAATCTGCTGACCAACGAAAAATTTAAAGAGTACGAAAATAAAAAAAAAACGAGGTGTATTCCAGAAAAAAAAAGCTAAATTTCGGCTTAGCTTTTCAGGTGTGTGTTATATATACGCAAAAATCGAAAAATAATTAAAATATTTACAATTGTATATATATAAATATATAAATATATATATATATGTATATATATAATATTAACATTAAAAATAAAATAAAAGAGGAAGAGCCAATGAAAAATTTAACCGACCCGAGAAACGTTAATTTTTGTTCGATTTATTTTATGAAATGGAATGTTGCAAGAAAATGATGTGAATGTGTTATGGTAATGATGATTTTTTTTATGTATTTATAAATCATATTTTAATTTTACAAAATAAAAAAAAAGAATTTACGTGAGGAAAAAAATCCTTAATATATAAATAAGAAAGAAAATCAGGATATTAAAAATCCAAAACTTAATTCAATAAATCGCGAATCTTTATTGATGGATTTATTGTTGTTGAGGATGAGGGTGCAGACAATGAAAACGGCATTTTATCTTCAAGATGTCCGCGATAATTAAGACTACACGCAGAATTACGTGTAACTGAGGATGATGCGTCTGGATGCAAATGTTGATGGTGTGGTGATCGCGGATAATACAGAAGAGGAGATTGATTTGATCGATCCTTTATTATCTCATCGTTTGTTTCATTACTCTTTCTTCTTTTATTAGATTTAAAAGATAGACATGATTCCGGTGATGATAATAATCTTTTTTGAAGGGAAGAATCAAAATTTGATTCTTCTGTTTTTATCATAGGAGAAGTAGTAACGATAGATGAATCATTACCATTTCCAATATAAGGTGGAGTCGGGATTGAATGTTCTTTTCTTTTATAATCAAATGTTGTGGTAGATGATGTTGAGGATGTGGGTGATGGTGATGATGAACTATTTACATCTGTTAGACCGATTCGAAATACGAATTGTTCATTACTATTATTTTGTGAAAATCCAATCATAGAATTTATGCCATTAGTTGTTATCTGTGGAAGATCTAATGTTGGTTTTTTCGGTATTTTATTTTTTTTACTTGGAAAAGGTGTTGATTGTCCCATATTATTATTATTATTGTGGTGGTGGTGGTGGTGGTTACTATTATTATTGTTGTTGTTATTGTGATGATGGTGATGATGATTATGATTATGATCAAAATTATTTCGATAATGATAATGATGATGATTTTGATGTTGTTGATGTTGAATTACATGATGATGATGATGATGTAAATTATCATCAACTTCCACAAGTCTACCAGCCATACTATCACCGGGAGCTGAATCACTTCCACAACTATCATCATCAGCTGCGTTTGATACCCCATGAATTGATGAGCTTCCTTCGCCTGGTCTTCGTTTTTGAACACCACCCCTGGCAAAAACTCCATCATGATATGCAGACATATATTCGGGGTCAATTGTCCAATAGCCTCCTTTACCTTTACCGGTTGATGAAGTATTTGTCGTGCTAGAGTTAGTAGTTGTATGTCCTACTAAATCAGTGTCAGATCTGGGTACTTTCTTGAAGCATTTATTTAACGATAAATTGTGACGAATGGTATTCTATAAATGAAATAATTTAGATAATTTAGATAATTTAGAAAATTTAGAGAAAAGTGATTCTATTAATAATAACGAGGATAATACAAACCTGCCAGCCAGTATCATCAGCCTTGTATAATTGCGGATACCTCTCCATAATCCACTGATAGACTTCTCGTAGAGTCAATCGTCGTTCCGGGGAATCAAGGATTGCTTGTGCAATAAGAGATGAATATGAATAAGGAGGACGACGCCTTCGTCTTGGAGGTCGATTATTAAGTTCCGGAGTCACGGTGACAAATGGTTCTGAAATAATGGATTGCGAGGTATTGTTTCTCTGATGTGGAAATGAACGTGAGGAAGAGTTGTTACCATTATCATCTTGTGGTGGTGGTTGCTTGGATGATGAACCTATGTCTTGTTTAAACGATGATTTTGATCCGGATGATAAAGGTGAATTGCTATTGCCATAGATCATCTTGGATGGAGATGGTTGAGAAGGATACATGGTTGATGATGAAACAGATGGCGAGGACGCAGATAGTTGAGGCGGCGATTGTGTAGGGCGACGGGGCGTAGGATGCGCGGGAGTTATTGGTGAAGTGTTAACATTTGTATTCGATATTGATTGATAAGGAGTAGAAAATGGCGATGGCTGATAATAATGATAATTATTCGGAGAGCCTGTATTATCAGGGGGTTTATGCGAAGAAACTGGTGAAGGAATATGTGATGACGGATAAGAAGTATCCTGGGTATTTATCGAGGAAAAAGTTGGAATTGTTGTCGTTGAATATCTTTCAATGTGAAGTGGATTCTGTGAACTTGAAGTCGTTACGGAATGTGTCGGAGAAAGAATGTGCTTGACAGACGGAAGAATAATGGACGGCTGAATTGGTGGTGTCATCATTGCCATGGGTGTAACAATTGACGAAATGGTAGAACGTCGAGAACGTGTTGAAAAGGGGGAATTTTTTTGATTTAACGATGAATTTTGTTGATTTTTTGACACCACCACGTCTTTCTCTCTAGGATTGTAACGCGACGAAAAGTTCAAATCGAGTAAACTATCAAAAGAACTATGCTGCCTTTTATTGTTATTGTTGTTACTATTATGGCTATTGTTATTGTGATTATTAAAAATATCGTTAAGAGAAGATGAATCCACGGAAGTTGATTGCGCTTCTTTTGAATTGTAAGAACTATTTAGCGGTACCAATCGTAGAGAAACGTTATCAGTGTCGTATTGCCGCGACATGTATATATATAAAAATAAATTTACGGCAATCCCATACACAAAGGGAGTCCTCTCTCTTCCTTCCTATCTTTCTCTCTATAGAACAAAGAAAAAGGTGGACGAAAAAATAAATTTCTTATCTTTTTATTATTATCTTTTATATATATATATATACACAAACATATAATGTATATATCTATATATATATATATATATAGATAGATATAGATAAAATTGGATTGTTACGAACTATTTGATAGTCGGAAACTTGAGACTAATATTTTTTTTTAACTAAAAAAAAAATAAAATCGATTTGGTTCGCGCGACAGTGGTAGAAAGTAGGGTTTTTTAATGAATGATGGAAAAAGAATTATTGATGTTGTAGTCGATGACATGCATGTTATAATAATGACGATTAAAGAAAAAAAAAAAAAAACGTTAAAAGTCGAGAAGAGAAAAAAAAGAGGTGTTGAGCAGATTTGCCCCAACCAAAAAAGGGATTTACATTCAAAAAAAATTACTGCTACAACTTAGACTTTGTTGTTTATTTGATGGTGATGATGAGAAATTTAGAATGTATTTGGTGACGAAGGATGGAATTTATAGTTACTTTTTGTTTGTAAATATTCTATTTTTCATTATATTATTGTTGTTTAAGGTATCTTAAGTTATATCTCCAATACAATATAAAGTATAAATAAAGAAAAAAAAATACCTGTTTTTCCTTTATTTGTCTCTGTGTTTGTATCTCAGAAAAGCAAGTAAAATTCTATGTTAGTTAGAATAAAAGGTATGGTGAATTACACAGAAATCATTCTAAAATTATTTATTATTTGTTGTTGTTTGGTTGTTTACCTTTGTCAGACAGAAAAGGAAGCAACATGTTTTAAACCTGATTAACCCTTCCTATTAAGTTTAACCTAACTTTTTTTTTTTCTTATACTGATGGTCAGCAGTGTGTATAGTAGTAATATTGAATCAATGCGCGTGCGGTACATCCCGATCAATGTGCACTTTAATATAAAATGTGCACGCGTCAATTTGTGTGTCTGTGTGTATATGCGTGTGTGCGCGCGCACTTCCTTTTGTTCACCCCACCTTTTTATTTATTTGATTTAATTTTACGCTTTCCCCATAGCTTTGACCTCGTATTTGATATTCATTAGAAAAACTTAGCTAACTAACACAAATTCGATTCTTTTTTCTTTCTTGTTTGTTTTAATATAAAAAGTGTGTATGTATGCGCGTATGCGTGAAGCAGCAGAAATTTAATGTTGATCAGTTTTTGTTTGTTAAACGATTTCGTCCTTGTGTGCCAAGCTTTTTCACTTTTAGCAAGAATGAGACGAAAAAGCATAGAGTAATGTTGTATATGTGTGTATAACAACTTAGCTCTTTACTTTTTCGTATGTAACATTCCAAGCGTGCGTGCGCACTATGCAATGATTCATGAGAAATGATGATGACGGCGATTTAATAATAAAATGGGTTTCTAAATTGAATTTTAAGAAACTCATGCAATTCTAAATTGCACAGTAAATAAAGTAAGGATACATTACACATAAATGTTTGCACAACATTACTTCTGCTTCCGTGCATACAATAATAATTGGTTGTTGTGTTCTTAACATGGAATTATTTTGCATTAGTTAACAATGCAAAAGAAGTTTTTTTTTAAGTTATGATGCATTATTATACACGCTCGGAACCAGCATACACGCATATACAGTACATCATAACAACGAGAATTACCCTTGCAGCGCAAAAAAAATCTACAATCATTCATTAATCCTAAAGAATTGTAGACGGCAAAAGCACAAAAAAAAAATAAAAAGCCAAACTTCGAAATAGATGCATCCGACAAATGAGGTGTGTACGTATATCTGTGAATAAACTAAGACGGCAGAGAAAATTAAAAATTATGGTATTGGGCATTGACTCCAATCATATCTTCTCGTGTAGCGAGCAACCTAGCGAACGTTGACAAAAAAAATTTTCAAAAGTCTTCCGAAACGCGAAACGCAAAACGCAAACTATTTGTAGCTGGGTCGCACATTGGTTTGTTTTTTTTTTCGGAGCTAGTGGTAATTAATTTTTTTTGGTTTTTTTTTTCAAGTCGTAATTGGCGTAAAAATATACTTATGCATAGGACAAAAAGAAAACAGAACAAAACACGCATGTAATCAATCATTGGATAACTTGCCATCACCACAACTTTAGCAAACAAAGTTTTATAGTTCGTTTGTCATGGTTGTCATACAAATAAATGTGTGACGATAATAAATAACATATGTAGAGAGGTTTAACAAATTGACAACACATGATGATTTTTCGTGTATATTTGTTCAAAAAGCGAAATTAGCTCATCACCACTATTATTTATCGTTATTAATAATAAAATAATATGTCAATTATTTTGCTCCTCAAATTTATTAATGATCACCTAAAATAACAAATAAAAAAATATTTATTTACGATTCTTCTAAATGTTTTCCGTATTTATTATTTAATATTTACACTAAAATACCAATCATCAATCGATCAATTGCTGCTTTTATTAAATTAAAAACAAATAAATAATTATCAATCAATAAAATCAATAATCACTAATGATATCACATAAGGATAAACGATAATGAGGAAGGAAATAATATATAATAATAAAATAATATTGTAGAACTTATAAATAATGGGAATTCACGCTACACTGATTGATAATAAATAATTCATTACACACATGTAGTAAAAAATGAAGACAATAAATAATTCACTACACGTAGTAATAATGGTAATAATCGGGATAAATATCCGTTAATATTTCTTTTCCCCTTTTTCCCCATTTCATAAATAAATATTGCATCACAAACAAACAACAGAAGATTACGATTACACGGGGAAATTTTAAAAGATCTCGTGTGGGGGACGTAAACTTTTTCCAAAAGGTTATAAAACTCGGCGCAAATAGTCATTTCAATCTTTACCGCAGCCAGATTTTTAGTAAGGACAGCTTGTTATTTAGACAAATGAAATTTTGCCACAATAATTCTAAGCAAAATTAGTAATTAATATAATTAATGTCTAAAATTAAGATATTGTCTGGCTTAAAATTATTTTTATAATGTCATTATATTCTAAGTTTAATTATTACGTCAGAAGATCTACAGTTCCAAATTTGACTCTCACTGCACGTGTTGATGATATAGATATTTATTGTTTGAACTAAATCAATTTTTAACAATGATAATAAGTGATAGTGATTATTGAATATCGAATATCGATATGTAAAGGAAATCTTATCGCAATCAGTATCGCGTGATATAATCCTAATTTATAAAATGAACCGGAGAATTCTCCGATGTATCCTTATCAAAGTTTCGGGATCAAATTAATATTACACGAATTTTAATAATAATAAAGTTTGCACTATAGCAATAATAAAGTTTGAGTCACACAACACTAATCTAGAAGCTTTACTTTTGTTAATTGTGTGGCAGTGAAAAATTATTATTAGTATTCCAATAATAATTTTAATGCATTTTCTGCATAATTTAATTCTGCGTTTTTTTTGGTGTTTCACTAATTACATTTTGATTTATTAATATTTGTTTGTTTAACGATTTAATTTTTTGAAAGGTATGTATATTATGATGTACGATGAATGATGTTTTGCTGCATTATTAGGAATAAATCATTTGAATCAATCAATCAATCAATCAATAAATCAATCAGTTAATCAATCAAATCAACAATCAGGACACTGTATACTATATACATTGTGTAGAAAATAATAAAATAAAAAAAGGGAAGTTAGTGATTGGTCTTTGAAATGCCATTATAAAAAGGGAATATATCTTGATAATGACATATTGATAGTTCATATCACGCAAAAATACGAATATTATTTCGATACGAGACTAGTAACCTCCGGGGAAGATCTCTAATTTCTCATTGTCGGGAAACAATACGCCTAATTCCGGTTTTCAACGAGAAATAACGTTATGACAAGACAATATATACGTCAGGAGAACTCTGAAACTTTGTTTGTAAGACACGCCGACTATAAAGAAAAGGGGCTTCTTTTTCTTTATATGACGAAATTGTTTTTCTTGATTGTGACAAGTTATCATAGAAATTTGCGTTTCTCGAAAAAATTCTAATAATAAAGTATGATATGACAGAAAACAGGTTATTTCAAGATTTGGTTTTCTTCTATTACAGCAAATTTTCAATGGAGATTACCTTTTAATCCTTTATAAAGCCCTTTCACTGGGACCAAGTACATAAACACCAAATGCTGCGAGATTCCTCTTATAATCTAATTGATCAGCTTGTAAACCTTTTGCTTACTAATATAGTATTCCAACGATGCCTTCTTCAAAGCCGAACGTTTAGCATTGTGGTCATATCTGAGTGGTACAAAAATATGTAAGTGCTGTTTTTGGAGAGCGGTTAAAGTGTAATCCATCATGTAAACAATCTCCTAAATTTTCAGCTCACCCGATTAATGATTTATAAGGTCAGGGTAAATAATGGTTAGGGTTAGGGGACAAGCTTATATAAAATTGCATCCCGATATTTCATTTGCGTGTTAAAGCGGTGTGGATCATGTGATTCATGTCCCAACATATAAAACAATGCCTTGGAATACTAATTAAAAACGTCGGATGACAATTTTACCCTTATCCTAACCTTATAAACCATTAATCGGGAGATTGATCATATGGTCCACAATGCTTTAACAACAAATTAAAGTGATATATTCATTCGACTTTAACGCCATTATTGGGAATTACCAGAATTATAAGAGAAAAAGGAACCTTTTAATAGAGTCTTTTAAATGTCCATCTAGTTGGATAAACAGTACAATTGATACAAGTATTCTCCAATACACCGCATTCATTCTTTTCCTATCTTGAAAATATACAAGCATATAAGTTCTAAATTTAGTTGGTTAAACAGGAATCTCTCATCCATTATCAACTTTCCCATATTATTTTTTACCGCTTATTATTAAATATTATCGTATCAAAATATTACAGTAAATAATTTCGCGTAAATCTCAAATTGAGCCAAATCGATAACAAAAAATCATATACCCGTCGCTCCTGTTAAACCGGACACACCACTATTCCCTTAATGGACAAATAAATAACTTTAGCGTTAGATACTTCTATTCGCTCTATATACAGTATATATAGGAATTTAAGTTTGTGTTCGTCTATAAAAAGATATGTTAGCTGCGTATGTATGTAATTCTCCAACAATAATTTTCCTGTCTTCCATTCCCATTTTTCTCCATTGTGACAATAGTATCTACTATAGCAGTCTTGTAATCAGTTAGCGCGTTACTTATATAGGAACATATCGCAAGATCAACGTGGTAACACAAAAAATCAAAAAATTCGCTTTTTTGAATCATATATTTGTAAAGATAAAGAATGCGTAAATTTCTTGATCAATCCGGCAAACATAATCCATCACAAGAAAATAAAAAATTTAAAGAAATACGGAAGACAAATGCTAAAATCTAGCTTTGATCACTAACAAAAAATTTCGGAGACAAACACGATAAAATTAAGTCACGTGATGGTGAATCGCCTTAGATCTAAAGCGAATCCTATTGGATAGCACTGTAAACATGGAACTGCAATATCTGTCTTTTGTATAATTCGTAGTCAGTTTTACCTCATGTTTTTGCAATGGATAGCCCATTTAGGGCTACTTCAACACAACCCTGGTATGGCTCAAATGAAGAAATTTATTATTGGCATTTTTAATTGACAATAGATAATTCTAAGTCTGATTAAAATGACAAATGTATTTATAAATCAAATAAATTTTCATAGAGAGCAACGTTCTCGGCAACTTTCCTCTTAACGTGAGAAAAGTACTCATCTCTGAAATAACACAGACACTTTTGCAGGCACATGATCCCAATCTTTTGTCCTCGCCAACTCATGTACGTTGGGTTATGGAGGCAATTGGTCAAGGATTCGCTTTGCCCTTAGAGGAGATGGCAATCACTGCAAATTCTAAAGAATTATACTCACAATGGTTGTTTGAGCCGAATTTTAGACCGGCCGCAATTCGTGATCTTACCGGAAAGCCAGAAGAACAAAAGTTTTGGCAGGTCATATTCATATATAATTCATAAATATTATGATTAGAATGGTCATCATCTAAAATATTGAATTGATTATCAGGTAATATTTCATCATTATTCGCTACTCTTTCAACCTCGTACTCCCACTGTAAATCCACCTCAAGCCCCCACACCGACTACTCCAGGATTTCCCGCTGCTGTTAATCAAACATCGTCCAATTACACATATATACAACGACACATAGAGCTATGTAAAGGAGTGTTAATCGTATTGACTATGGCTGGGCGTACGCTCGGTTCACAATTTTCTGAAGAAACATGGCTCGTTCTTTTAAAAGTCGTGCTCGGAATCACTGATTGTCTGTTGCGAGATCCCTCAACAACCATGGGCGATGAATTATGTGAACATTTATTACGAGTACTTTTTGAATTATGGTTAAGATCTAAAATTCGAAATGTTGAGATGTGGAATATTTTTAAAAAATGTTTCAATTTATGGACCCACCGATTACAGACTATTCATCAATGGAACGCTACTACATTAGCATTGACTCAACGTGTCGCTAGATTACTCTATGGTCCAAGAGAAGGGGCTGATATGGTGAGCATATCTGTCGGTGGCTACAATGTTGGATTAGATCTTCCGACAGAGTTTGTGTATTATGCTTGGTATCGAATAATTTACCTTATAAACTATCCGTGTGCATTACCCCCTTCGAATTTTGCATTGTCAATTATGGGGATTGGAAGAATCATTGATGCTTTTCAATCCATCGGAAATTCAGTATCTCAAAAAATACATCAAAAGGAAAATTCAAGTCAAGGATTATTTTCTACTATACCCGACGGAAATACACTATTACACATGTTTGGTAAATGGCTTTTTGAAGCTTGTGCCATAAAAAATTGTGATCCTGATATGCAGCAAGGAAGAGCCACCGCATATGGTATCCTATGTAAAATATTTTGTTCAACTGAACGGCGACAGAAATTTTTGCGAAACTACATCACGCAATTTTATCGTGCTTTATCTGAAGGCTTGCGCTCCCCTAGCTGTCTCCCCGTTATACTGATGAACACTGATTCACTTTTCGCGACTGAGCTAGAAGGCGTGAGAATGATGGTGCCTGATTTTGTGGTTGGCATAAAAATGATATTGCCAAAACTCGCGACAAATTTTCACACAAAGATACCGCTTGATGATTTAAGATTAGCTGCTATTAAAGTCGCAAGCACGATAATGTGTTTGCCGAATCATTTTGAGAGGGTATCACTGAAAGAGGATTGGGCAATTGGAATACATCAAAATGGTGATAAGCCATTGGTTAATGATTCAGATGAAGTAGTTGTTAATGATGTGGTAAGGTTTCAGTTAATTTCAACTTTTATTTTGTAAAGATTCTAAACACATTCTCTTTATAGATCCGTGTATTATATTCGGAGGAAGATCTTCGAGATAATAAACAAAATCAACCTTCGACAGAACCTTTTACAGCTGTATGTAATTCATTTTTATTTATTAATTTATTTTTTGTATTGTATTAATAAAGTTTTCTTTCAGCTGAAATTCTATATTTTAGAATTGCTTCTTACTTCACTTAAAACCGACAAATCTTCCTACAATCTTCGTTATCTTCTTCATCTAATTGACGTTTATGTTGTTGAGGATGTAGCTTTTTGTCCGGGTTTAGTCGGTCTAGTTGTCAAGACTATTCAAGAAAAGGTACAAGTTATTAGTTAGAAGATTGGTATTTTCATTGTGTAAGAAACCTAATATGAAAAAAATAAAAATTCCAAGCTATTGACGATGACTCTGCCGGCAGATGTAACCTTGTATGCATTTGACGTCTTAAAAGATTTTGTTGGATTATATGACTATATACAAAGGGATAACAAGGTAATTTATAGAACTTTATTCGTGATATATTATTTTCAATTATTTAATTTATTTATGAATCATGCTTACTGCAGAACTGTGCCAGGGAATTAGTATTAGCATTTTCACGTTACATTGATACGTTACTTAATGGCGGCTATGGAGGATTGGTAAAAAACTTCTTTCCGTTTATTGGATTTTGATTGACTGGTATATAATTTTAATTAATAAATCTTTATATAAATAGTCAGTAAATTATCCTTTAATTGAGCTAGCTTATGATTGTATGGTGCATTGGATACTAATTGGGCAATGGATTGTTGGAGATCGTGATTGTTACGAAGCAGTAATTGCGACAATTAGTCGAGGAATATCCATTGGATTACATGAAGATGAAGTTTCGAATCTTTCTCCAAATTCAGAGAAGAAAAAGAATCGTAAAGATGCGACACCAAACAAACTTTTTCTTCCCCGTAATATCAAATCGGCTTCCTCGAGCAATGAAAGCATAGCAAATAATGGTATACAAATGCAACAAGGCAAAAAAGAGGAAGTTGCCATAAAGATTGCAGCTGAAATTGCAATGACACAAATTATCAATCATTTGGGTAACTTTCCTTCCTGGTCAGATCATATTGGTCCGAGCAGGGTTTCCACCTTATTTAATCAAGACTTGGAATTAGCAATGAGTCAGATTTCTGAAACACGCGAATTTGATGGAGTTTCAGTACCGGAACTTGTTCGTTATTTTTTGATTGATGGTCGTCTCATATTGGGATTTGTAGAACTACCAAAAAATTCGGATTCTTCCACTGTTGTTACACCAACATCAGCTCATCAACAAAATTTTCCTAATCCTGAAATAGATGATTCTGTAGCAGCTCCATCGGTTATTATGGTTATTCGTGATAGCACCGGCAAATATTCTTGGACATCACATATGCGATATAAAACATTAGATTCTGATCATGATAATTCAAAATCCTCACATCAAGATTTTGACAATTCCAACACCACACATCATCCTCCATCTCCAGTACCAGCTTTACAAGCTAGCACACCACTTAATTTATCATCTGATACCCAAGAAGCGATAAGCCACGCAAACGTTCCAAAGATATTTGCCTTCGACGAAAACAATTATGTACCTAGTATGGATAAAATATTAAAAGAGGGTAGTGAAAGTTGGCTAGCTTATAATGTCATCAAGAAGTTGACGCTCAAACAAATAAATGCAGAAGAACATGCTATCATGCGAAAACAGCATGGAAAACTTTTCGGTCAAAGGTGAATTTATAAATCAAATGCAAATTAAAAATTACTATCAATTCTGTATTTATAAATCAAAGATTATTTCTTTGGCAGTTATAAAGCCGAACCAGCTCGATTAAATGCCAATTTAGAGAGGTATTAACTATTGTAACCTAATTAGAGAATATCTGTTACTTTACTAATTTAACAACATATTTGATTGCATCAGTCCGCAAGCTTTTCGTCTCTTTATGTCGCAAATGGGTCTTTTAAACTTGGAAAATCGGCATCGAGTTGTTCCTTTGAGAATCTCCGAAAAATTAATTAAGGATTTAGAAGCGCTAGATCAAATGCATGAGTAAATGTCATGTTATCTTTTGTCCAACATCAAAAGTCTTAATAATCTAAACAAAATTGATTACTAGGCGAGATTGTATAAGCGCTTCAGTCTTTTTTGCACGTTCTGGCCGGGAGTCATATGAAACCATAGTTAATCCTGAAACGATAAGCGAAGATTTTGAGAAATTTCTGAACAGTCTTGGATGGCCGGTAATTTTATTTTTTTGATCATTTTGAGATAACTCCCATTCAATTATTTTGCTTATATATATATATATCGTGTAGGTTGATCTAGAGACTCACCCCGGATTCAAGGGAAACCTAACACCATCGCTTTGCAAAACTGCCCCGTATTTTGCCGACAGAACTGTTGAGCTCATCTTCAATGTTCCATATCTCATTCAAAGGCCTACGTCTAACACAACGGATCTTACTACTTCAATATTTAAACGTGTGTCCGCAGACGATTACGTTTCTATAGTATGGATAGAAGATATTCGCGGAATATACAGCATATCTCAAAAGATAAAAAAATCAGGACTAGTTTATATATTTGTGCATCCTCTACAAAATGCAACAGGATTATATTGGATACGAATAATCATGCCAGGTACCCTTCATTATAGTAATAGTGAACGAAAACAAGGAAAAGGGAAAAACATTTGGACGGCAATTACAAAGTTAGCCGAAAATCCCATGAATATTGGACCTTTAGTAGACGGGATGATTGTGAGTCGTCACGCACTGGGAACGCTAGTTCGAAATACTACAATATCGGCTCATCACGCATGTAGAGAGTGTACTGAGGCATTTTCTAGACCGTAAGTTTCTTATACTTTATTTACTAAATATATGAAACTGCTAAATTATTTTATTTAATTATTTAGCTACGCGGTTAGACGACAATTTATTGACGACATACATCGTAAATATAAGACTAATATGGATGTCTCCGAGTGAGTGAATTTTCGATAATATATAATATAAAGTTTTTTCTTTTAAATTTTACTTATTATAATTTCTATTTGATTTTCTTAGATTCTATTCTGATATTTTCGTCGCAAGATAATATTTAGATAGGAAAATTGATAATTGTAATAATTGTAATCTATTAATGATTTGTATTTTTATAATTGATCGTGATGAGCTTAAATATTAGCGTTAGCGTTAAAAAATTTCAATTTGATTTTTGATGTCATGTGTGTTTCGTATGCCCAAACAGATCAAAATCTATTTAACTTAACCATTTGTAATAAATGTCTACAAATACAGCAACAACGCGTAAAGGTAAAGTATCCTTCATCGAGGTTCCTTCCCGAGAACCAAAATTTGGCATAAGGGGGACTCCCATCACGATTCCTATTCAAGGGTCTAATTCTAGAGGTATCGCGATCCCAGTACCTTCGCGTGAACCAACAACAATAGATGTTTCTGCTGCTGCATCAACGACCGCAGGAGGTCATGAAGCAGGAGTCTCACAAACCCAAGTTCCGTTGGAGACTTCGTCGTCATCATTGTCTTTGTCACCAGACGATAGTCTTTCTTCTTCCTCAATGACAATCAATAAACGAGTTTCAGAAACAAAAAACAACAAAATTCCAAGGAAAAAAAGAAAGATTCTTCCTTGGGAAGATGATCCTTTTGAGGTACCACTGGATTTATCAGAAATCAAAATGGCAGATTTATGCAAAGATGTAAAAGTTGGAAGAAAATCAAGTAAATTTAAGAAATTGGCTAAGAAAAAGTATATGGAAGCTCAACGAAAGAGACAAGAAAGAAAAGCAAGGGCAGCAGCAACAAGAGCATCTATTTCATCGTCACCTATGGATCTCACTAATAACGAAGATGATAATGGTGTTGAGATTCAAGAAAATAATTCTTTAGATTTTCAAGATATTGGAATGACACCTTCTGTTGCTCCTTCAACATCAAATATCGAACAAAGTGAATATAATGAAGATGAAGTAGAAGGTATAATAATGAATGATACCGCAACAAATTATTTTAATAATCTTGATGATGATGATGATGATGATGAAGATGTACCAGCTCAAAATGACGACGAGAATGAATCACTTGAGAATTATAATGAACCTTCAGAAATTATCGAGGAAGCAGCAACAGATAATGAAACAGAGGAATTGGATGAAGATCTGCTGAACGATCCTAATATTACTCTTGTGCGTTCAATGCAAATACAGGAATCGTAAGAAAACTTTTATATACACATTAATGGTTGCATATTTCGTATTCATTGGTCACATAATTATTATTATTATTGCTGTACTTAGATCAATTGCACCGCAAATACGATGTGTTGATGGCAAGGTTGTGCTTGACATTGAATCTTTGCAAGTAGATCGTGAGGCAACTGCTCGAAGTGAAGAAGCAAATGCTCCTTTACGACGTTTAGTAGAAAATGATCTCACAAGGTTGACCAATTCATTGTCATACTTACCACCTCGCCAAAAAACGATGAGATGGACACCCGAAGATAATGAATTATTTTTCAAAGTATTGATATGTTAAAAAATATATATATATATATTTGTCTCTTAGACTTTAATATTAAAGGTATTAATGAATTGAAAATAGGGCCTTTCACAATGGGGGACAGATTTTGGAATTATCGCGAAAATGTTTCCTCACAGAAATCGTAAACAGATTAAGGCTAAATATAAACGGGAGTCAAAACAAAATAAAGAAAAAGTGGATTATGCTTTGAAGAACAAGATACCGATAGGTCAGGCACAAAATTTTCCCTACTGAACAAAACCAACATGGTTATTATGGATTGATCTATATTATATTATAATGTATAGATATCGAAGAATATTCCAAAGTTTCTGGAATTGAAATCCCCGAAAATATTGAATTTGCCGAAGTGGAATCACTAGAAGTGGTACAGACTCCGGAAGCTTCAGAAACAACTACCCTATTTCATCCTGAATCCCCACTAACCTCAGAAGCAGCCACTTTAGTACAAGAAATGATTGATAGTGTAGCATCGCCACCGCGTGAACCTGTGACTATCGAGATGCCAAATTCACCAGCAGGCTCAGATGGCGAAGTATCTGATGCAATTCAAGAACATGAGTCACAAGTACAGTAACACCTCCATAAGTGCACACCCTCTATATTCACGTGCCGGTGATTCTGAGTCCCTAAATGCACGCACGTGACAACTAGATACCATGACCGATTATTTAATATTCAAATTAGTTAATATGATTAATAATAAAAATTATTCGAAAAAAAATGTGCGAATGACATCAAAGAGTATACCAAATTTAGTATTAGTTGGAGAAAGATGTAAAATGCGGGGAATATTGCAAAACAAACCGACTTAAGGAATAAATCATAATTCGGAAAAGTCTACGGACAGTGCTAAATCAGGTGATCTATATTTATAATCGGTAGATGCAGATCAATGGGATAATCACAATAACGGAAAAATTCTTAGTTTTTTTGAAAATAGTGAAATTTCGCAAGAAACATTTTTGTTAGAACACAAAAGGTGAGATGCAAGCTATTTTACACATTAATCTTGGGATTTGATTGGTTTATCCCTTAAAAAATCACATGACCATACTCTTCGATCTACTGTCCGGCACTGGCCCGGAAAGATCACCTGATTTAGCACTGTCCCTATGCACAGGTCAAATAGGCCGAGTCACGTGATTTCAGTTTTTAAGTGTCAAGCACTGTATTATAGATAACGATATCAATAGTCTAAAAAAAATGGCTAGACGAAAGGTAGGAAGAACGTTCAAGTAACTTTATGAAATTGAGTGCTTAGCTTATTAAAGGGGTTTTTTCCTTAACCTATTTGAGCACAGAAAAAAAGAACCCATGTCAAAATCGACGAAAGTGCCAACCCGGACGCGCCAAAAATACCAAAGAGTTTTGTATTAAGGTCCGGAAAAGTTGGGAAAACGGTAACTGCTTTAGTGCAAGACATGCGTAAAGTTATGGAACCCAACACGGCTGTACGACTTCGCGTAAGTAAAAAATCGGTTTAAAATGAACCTTGAATTCACCAAAATAATACCGCCAAAAACTATTTAATAGGAACGTAAAAATAATCGCCTAAAAGACTTCTTATCAGTAGCCGGTCAATTTGGTGTAACACATTTTCTGATATTTACTCGCACCGAATATGGAACAAATTTGAGAATTGCTCGGTCGCCTCGAGGTCCTACGTTGTGTTTCAAGGTGAAAAATTATTCTTTGACTAGAGATGTGTTGGCATCACAATTGAACCCGAAAAGTCCTGGTGCAGAGTACCACACTTCACCTTTGGTAAGAAAGGGGATCTTTTAGCATTATTCATAATTTATTTAAATCTTTACTATTCATTAAAGAAATTTTTTTATAAAAGCTTGTATTAAATAATTTTGGCGGTGATGAAAAGCAAATCAAACTTATGACTACGATGTTTCAAAATATGTTTCCACCGATTAATGTGAAAACGGTAAATTTATATTTCATATGCCACTGAAAGTCTTTATTCGCTTTTCTTAAAATAGTCTCTTTTAGATGCAACTTTCAGAGGCGCGTCGCGTTGTTCTATTCAGCTATAATTCCGAAACAAAACACATCGATTTTCGACACTACAGTATTAATGTAAAACCAGTAGGAATCAGTAAAAGTATAAAAAAAATAATTACTAGCGATAATATGCCGGATCTTCATAATTTAAATGACATTAGTGAATTCGTTTTAAAGTAAGTTTACCGCTGCAAATAGGTGATATATATATCCTCAAAAAATTTATTTTCCTTTCTCATGTTGGATGACCTCTTCGAATTTTTTGTAGAGAAGGGCAAATTTCAGAAAGTGAAGCAGAAGAAAGTGACGTCGAAAGAAGTGTTATCACACTTGCACAAGATTTTGTCGGTAGAAATAACAAAAAATCTGATCAGCGTGCTATAAGATTGACAGAATTAGGTCCGAGGTTGTCGTTGAAATTGGTGAAGATTCAAAGTGGATTGTGTGATGGAGAAGTTTTATTTCATGAATTTAGTGAGTTTGTGGCCTTTTCTGTTGGGATAATTCTTCAGCCAGCCTATTTAACTCAACTAATCCGGTGCCATTATAAAAGTCTACAAGACACCAGAAGAAATTAGACAAATGGAATATGAGCGTGAACAGAAAAAGCAATTAGCAGCATTACGTCGTAAACAACAAGAGGAGAATGTCGCAAAGAAAAAAGCTGAAAAAGAAGCTAAACAGCTTGTTACCGATGAAAAAAAACAAAAACGTAAAAATAATTTTTTTGACAGAAGTAGGCCATATCTCTCTCTCTCTTTTATATAAGGTATCATGCTTTCTAACTATTTACAACCTCAATTATAGATACTCGAACTTCTAAGCAGCAACAAAATGAAAATTATTCAGATGGCGACGAAATTGAATATTACGACGATGACGATGAAATTTCAGATGATTCTGTTATAGAGGATGAAAGTTATTTGGATGATGAATTTTCAGATGTTGATTGCGCTTTTAAACAGAGCGATTATAATGCGGACAATTTGTTTGAAGACTTAGAAAATGATGTTAGTAGTGGTAATAATAATAGTCATAATAGTGAATCAGAGAACGATGAGGTTGATGAACAAATATCATCTAGTAAACAAAAGAGAAAATATGCAGCTTCAATAGGAAAGCCCAAATTCTTGCTCAAAAATAAAAAAGCGAGAAAATAATTTATAATGATATATTTAAATTTGAACTTCAAAAGATATCTTTTATCCAAGCATAAACTCACTCGAAGTACACAGTGAACCTGGATATAACGAAGTAGTCCGTTCCACCCATTTTTTCAGTATTATCAGGTTTTCATTATATTCAGGTAGGAAATTATATAAAAAAAATTTGGTACATCATTCTAAATGAAAATTCGTTTTATCCAGGTTCATTGTGTATATTTTAAAATGACAGTCTTTGCAGAGACATGGATCAATGCTCGATAAATAAATACAGCCGAGACCAAGCATACAATTTGCAGTCCCTCTTCGCGAAAATTCAAAAATTTTCTTGTGATCATTCTTCATCAGACTCAAGTTCATAATTTTCATTATTATCTTCAGTCACCTCAGAAACTTCTGGTGAATCGGACACTTGCATAATTTCTGAAACTTCGGAAACTACTACAGTAACACCAGCTTCAAAAGTGCACGCCCTGGGACCAGACATATACATGCACTTAGGAAGTGTGTGCACTTAAAGAATAAGCTAATAGAAAAATAGATATCGTTGCACATATATATAGTCAAACCTGGATTTAACGAATTGTACTCCGTCTCCCAACCTTGAACTTCATAGAAAATTTATGGAATAAGGTGAATATGCATACGAGGTAACTTCCTGGATCACTTTTAATCACAGAACAGTTGTGGAAAAAGTTACAATTGACATAAAAGGTATAGATCTTGATTATTGTTCTAGTTATCGTTATATAGAATATTGAATAGGGTTAGAAGTATATTATACGAAAAAATTATATTAAAATCCTATATTTTCCGGTGCTTAAAATTGATGATTTATGATAATAATAAATTAAATATATATTTTTATACTAAAAATTATGCAACTGTCAGATTAATTAGCTATGATTGATTATTTTGTATAATAGATATTATAAAAATGAAAAGTGAAATAAATAATAAAATAAATGAAATTAATATAATAAATGTGTAAGACTATACTGAATATGAATTATGTTAAATATCATGTATATTTCATTAGTACTAGAAACTGCTAAATCATGTAATCTTTTTGGATTAATTTCAAAATTTATAATTGAAAAAAGATAATTAAAATATTTATTTATTTTTAAATTTACTTATTATATCCTAATAAAAAATATTTCTTGCAAAATTTTATTTTATAATAATTTATATAATAAACTTTAATAATAATTCTAATTTTAATCATATTATAATTTAAATTTTAAATTTCTAATTTAAATTCTGAATTTTTATTATATAATTAAATCTCTTTATAGTTACATCTCTTTAAAGTTATTTTTTTATAATTATCTTTTTTGAGTTTTTCAATTACTAATTAACTATATTTAAAAAAATCTCTTTATAGTTATATCTCTTTTTAGTTATTTAATTTTACTTTTTTAAGTATGATAATTATAAAAAATATAAAGTTACTTATCTAATATTTTTAATTAATAATTAAAAAAAAAGATTTATATATTATATTTCTTGTAATATTACTTTTTTTATCTCTTTGAATTAAATTTTTAATTTATATTCTTATTTATTATTAAATTATTTTATTATTATTTTTAAATATTATATTTAAATAATAATATTTTTAAATAATATTAAAAATTTATTATATTAAAATTATATTTTATAATAATTATTAAAAATAATAAGAATACAAACTAAAAAAACTTAATTATATATAATATATATAATTATATTTTAACAATAATTTATTTATTAATATAATATAAAAATAAATTTAAAATAATCTTAATTTTTTCTCTTTTTTATTATAAATAAAAAAATTTTAATTATTAATTAATAAGAGATTATAAATTATCTTTAAAAATATAATATCTATAATATTTTAATTTTAATAAAAAAAGTAATATTTCTTTTTTA